CCCCCCCTGCCATGAGCACCGACGCTCCTTGTCCAAGCGTGGGTGCTCAGCCTTGGGCTGAACGAGCCGAGGGGCTTAGGGTTTTACATTCCTTTCTGCTGATGCAAAAATTACCGCTGTGAAGATAGGACTAGAGGGACGTCAAGGGAAGAACGCAGCCCCTGCCCCAAAGTGTGAGGCATCGGAGGCATACGCGGTGCTAAGCCCTGCTCTGATGAGTGCGGTGGTGCCTCGTCGATAGCTGGATGCTCTGCTCACTAGAGCAGGTACTCCAGGTGAGCCTAAATAACCCTCATTCCACCTGGAGACAGCCATTCGGGCGTGAGGGACCCGACGGCAGGCAGCACTCACCATCCTGGCAGCGACGGCCGGTGTAGCCGGGTGGACACAGGCAGGCCCCCGTGGCGGGATCGCAGCTGGCGTTGTTCGCGCACTCAGGACATAGCTCCTGGCAGCCCAGTCCCCAGCGACCGTCGGGGCAAGCTGGAGCGCGGGCAGAGAGAGGACACACACTCATCGGGATCACAGCCGAGGCGTGGGAGGGAAATGTCTATTTTCTGGTGCACGGCAATGAGTCCCCTTTCTCGTTCACCCTCGTGCTTCATGCAAAACATGGGCTTTTGTTTGGCAATACATGGCTACTAGCAAGGACAACATTGCTTGCTTTGTTTTATAAACAGCGTGTGAGCCCTTGGGAAGAGCTATTCTGATCTCACTCCAGTACTTTCATGTCAATTTTGGATTCGCATCGACTTGTGGAGAGCTACAAGGGCTCCTTGCTAGGAAATGGTGTTGCTGGCAAAGGGTCTCGGCAGCTGCCGTCACACCACTGGACAGCACGCTAGCCAGCATTCCCAGCTCTGCTTTTAGTTGCAAAGGCGAAGCAAAAGGCTAAGAACTGATAAAACTGGGGCACAAATCCTTGTTTAACTGCTCCTAAGCTGCTCCAGGGCCTGGAAAAGTTCAAAATGTATGGTAAGCACTGTGCATGTATGGTTTTATTGCTCAGTCAAACTATTAGGAGCAGGACATCTATATATGACTAATATCTTCCAGCTGCTGTAATACTGTACAATCATGTAAAAGTTTTGGATTTAGGATTCTCTAGTTTCCAGCCATTAAAGAGTAATATGGCGAAGGCAATTAAAAATGCACATCAGTAAAGAAAGACTCCTTTCCTATGTTAAGGGCTGCAACAGCCAAGAATACCTTCATCTTTTTTATTGTTGATGTTGTTGACTTCCTTGTACTTCCCTCAGCTTCAACAGCAGAGCGGAGCTCGCGAGCCTATTGTTTAAGTCTTACCATCAAAAGCTGCATTTTTTCTAATTTTCCACGAAGATGATTCTCATTGCACTAGATGTTTTTGAAACTAATTTTAGCAAGAGAAAAATAACAGCTATACACCTAAATCCCTACCTCAGCGCACTGGCTCCCATCGCCTCCTCACCTTGGCCGCAGTCGTGTCCGGTCCAGCCTGGCAGGCAGAGGCACTGCCCCGTGCTCCGGTCGCAGGGCGCTCCCCCGCAGGAGCAGGACCGCCGGCAGCCCGCCCCGAACGTCCCCTCCGGACACTCTGCGTCGAAAACAGCAGTGTGAAACCTGCCCCCTCCTGCGAGGCCTTTTCCATGAGCACATACCGATCGGGCCCCACATACCGAAGGAGCCTCCGGCTCTGTGACGAAAAGCCCATCTGTGAAAAGTTCCCACGCTGCAGAGGAAGACCGTGCTCGTGGGCCTGGATGTGACCGCTCTTATCCCACCGGCCACCTGCAGCCGGGCCTCTAGCATTTCGCACCACTACCTTGAGTTGTCTGTCCGAGTATCACTTGTCTGCTGTTGCTTGTACTTTCAACAAGTATTTCTTTATCACAGAGGACCGACTGATCACATGCCCAACAGCTGAGGCCAAACCAGTCCCCAAACATGACTCTGCAAATAACCCATTCCCTCGCTGCTGCACCCCTGCAGGGCTGCGCCCCGGGCAGCAGCCGCAGCCGGCCGTATGCAGCACTGCTGCAGGCACCGACAGCGTGGCAAACGGGTCAGGAAAGACGCACTTTTGCTCAGCCTCCAAGACGCCCGTGCTCATCCCATGGGCAGTGGCCTGAGCCACCCTGCTCTCTCTGTGCTGGGGCGCAGAACGCCGAGTTCGCAGTCCCCAAACCCATACCATCCCTTGACTTTTATAAGATGCTGTGAGGGTTTTTTACTGCCCTGGCCGAATGCCTCTGGAACCTGGAAGCCAGGCTTTTAAGAAGCAGCAAGATTTGCAGCAGGTACACTGATGTAAAGCAATAAAGCAGGAGCATCCCCGTCCACAGGAGGAGTAAGCGCTTTTCCTTCCCTCAGCTCTGAATGCCGGGGGGCTACTGCTGATACCAGCAAGCTCCGTTTGCTCTTTGTACCCCATGACACAATTTAGCAGACAGCTAATTACATGCAGACTGAGGGCCTCAGACCAAAAGATCCTTAAATCCCATTTGAGTCTCCCAAAAATGCTCGTAGTCCCTTTTATTCACCCAGGCCAATGTTTCAAAAGGCTTCGGCAGATGCAAACACACCGGCATTCACAAATCGCGGAGGAAAAGCACACCAGCACGCAGATTTCAAGTGACACAGTGGAGTTTTTGTTATTCCTCCTCTTTGCTAATTGATGGCAGATGTTTGTCTTCACCCTTTAATAATTTCCAGATCCGAACAACAGCCAAGAGCCTACTATTTCTATACAAATATTTGTGTTATTTCCTGTGACTCCCCCCTACAGGCTTGAGCTCCTTTCTTATTCTTTTTAAAAATATCCCGACCAAAAGCGCCCAGCCTGCCAAGGCGCCGCGTGGCTCGGAGGCAGCAGCGTCCCGCACGCCGGGGGGGCTCCAGGGCTGCTGGGACCCCTGGCAGGGGGCACAGGCCCTGCAAAAGCCGCTCCCAGCTCTCCTCCTAACGCCGCTTAGCTCTGTTAGCACTTGCTTGCATGGGAACTTTGTGTGACCATCTGCAGCTTTTGTTCTGACCGACAGACCAGCTATGTTCTACCAGTTGCGGTGTTATGCAAGATAATCATGTGCCAGCAGCTTAATTAGGTGAATAGTTATAACTGCTGGGTTGGGTGTGGGTGGAATGCTTGGTTAAACATGTGCAGAGACTCCCGGGATGCTTGAATCAAAATTCAGATGCTGACCACCACAATGCAGTTGGGTCTTCGAGTGTGGACTTCAAGCGTTCAACTTTTTGCCTTTTCTGTTGGATCTGACCAGTTGAAATGTGATTCAGAAGGGGTCAGCTCACAAGAGGAGGAGGTTGGCTTTTCAATCACCGATCAGCTCTGAGGCTGGCAGAAGTTATTATTTTCCAGGAACTGTGTTCATGTTTTGTAATCATCACCTCGTGCCAATGACTCACTGCCATTAGGTTCACTCAAAACACCTTTGTTCGAAGAAAGCCAAGCTCTCTGACACCCCAGCTATCTCCTGGGACCTTGAAAAGCTGCGCCCTCGGAGCTCGAGTGCTACAGTGCCCACACAGAGCGTGCAGTTTAGTTACCATACTGTCAACTGGCCCTGTATGTGAAGAGCAGAAAGCTGCTCCAGGAGGTTCATACGGAGGCAGAAGTTTAAATCCTAATGTAAATGAAATATAAAATTTTCTTTTCTGCTTGAAGATCAAATAGAGTTTCAATATAAAATAGAGAATGGAGCAGAAAATATGATACCGTTCTGCTGGGCACTGATTGCCTGGAAGTAAAAAGACATCAAAGGGAGGGAAAAGATAACGAGATATCTATCACCTTCATCTACAAAAGCAGAGATGCCCAAGTGGCAGGATAAAGTGAGACCTTGTTCTCCTTTTCTGAATAAGACTGACTATGCATGAGAAATCCTGCTTCCCCTTTTAAAGAGATCGCAGCGGTTTACAAAGACCTGTACGTGGCAGCTCTTGTGTCCTCTAAAGCCAGTTCAACTTTCCACTCATTAGATCAGCTGCAGTGGGCTAGGGGTCTGTGAGAGCACAGGAGGAATTCTGCAAGTTCCTTCACGTTGATTTGTGAAGAAAACGTTTGTACGTGTGAGGAATCGTGAGCCTACAGCAGGCTTAGAGTTGCCTTGCAGGGCCCCTGCCTTACCTTGGTCGCAGCGCTCCCCATGGTAGCCTTGGGGACACTCTTTCCAGCCCTCTCCGGTGACACGGTCACAAGACACTTCTGGAGGGCAGCTACATTTCTTCTTGCAGCCATCCCCGTAATAGCCAGGGTCACAGTCTGTTAATAATCATAATTAAAAAGAAAGAACATCTGGCATTACTCGACAGACCCTGGAAGAGCAGGCAGCGCCAGCTCGCGGCGCCAGGCACTGGCCAGCACGCTCCCGAGCCGCCGGCTGCGCAGGTTCTTAACGGGACTGAGTCTGGCAGCAAGTTTTGTTCCTAAGCTAAATAACAAGAGCTGAGACAGTCTTAGGAGGGTGGCAAATGAGCTGAGCTTTGCTCCCAGAAATGAGTTAGGAGGGAAGGGGCTGCGGGAGGAGAAAGGGGGATGCTCTGTGAATACTTCTTGGCAACTCACTCGTCTCACAGCGCTTGCCGCGGTAGCCAGGTTTGCATCGGCAGGAGCCGTCCCGCTTGTCGCAGTCCTGCGTGTTCTGCTGCACACAGCGGCACTCTTCGGAGCACCCGGGGCCAAACGCCCACTTTGGGCAAACTGGATGCAGAAGGAAAGAGCTGGTCAGTGACGCACGAAGCCAAATGACACGGGGCAAGGGACAGAAACTTTGCCACCCAGTGCTGGCCCTTCCCAGGCGTGGTACCTAGAGAGGCTGTAATCTAAGAATAATATATATCTCATAACAAAGATGAGGACAAGCATACCTAAATGGCAGTATCGTCCGTATAAGCCAGGATCGCACAGACAGGCTCCATAAATCCGATGGCAACGACCCCGGTTGGCACAGTTGCACTTTTTCCTGCATTGTTTCCCAAAAAATCCTTTAGGGCACCCTAGTAATAGAGAGAGATTTCCTGGGATGGTGAGGCAATTTTGGCCTGTCATTTTATTTCCAGCAGACCACAGGAAAAACGAACCAAAATCAAAGCTGTATAACATCAGAAATGAACCTAGGCAAAGGATGCAGCGGGTGTTCAAAAGGCGGCTGGCCTGTTTTCTGACCAGGAATGCGTGTGTCTCTACACAATAAGGTAATGATAAGAGCGATCGGGTTCCCTGCATCAGCTCAAAACCAGGTTGCTTCAGCAGCCGGCACCCCTGTCCCCGCACAGGGCGTTTCCAGCCACACGAGGTGCCCCGAGGGCACCGCCAGCTCTGTGCCCTGCTCGCAAGGGCAACGCGGGTTCTGCTGGAAATCCACCCTGCAGGGCTCTGAGAAGCCAGGTTTTTCATATGTGAGAAGGTAATCCGTGAGGCTGTTCCGATTGATAAATAACAGTCATATCTGCACTATTAAGGGAATAAAATTTTTCTTCTTTGTTGTGCTAAAGATCTTAATATTAGAAGCACACGGCAGACAGACTGTGTCAGCAGAAAGCTCCGGCCAGCATCCATCCAGGCAGCATGTGCCTTGTCCCCTATGATAAGAGCAGCAGGCAGCTTAAGCAGAGGAAATGCCACCGTGGGACAACAGATCAGTTCTTCGCTGTTTATTTTAATCTTACCTTCCTGTTTTATCTCTGTACCCCTCAATCACCTCCTTCCTACAGAAAGAAAAGGTCAGGGTATCTCTTGCATTCATCTGCATTCTGCTTTGGTCTCCTCCTTCAGTAATAGTTCCCAGATGCTCCTAAACATTTGTCTGAAGTCATTTTGTCTGAATCTCTTATTGTCTCACTCTTTCTGTGTTTTTAGATTATGTCCCCCAGATTTTAACTCTTTGGGAGAACAAATGCCTACCAACAGCAAGTGACGCCTCCTTCTGCAGTACTTTGGGTAACGACTGTTGTCAATGCTTTTCAATGCTTTGGTTTTTCTTCAGTGGAAAATACCTCCATGGTGCTGTAAATTTGCCTTTGGACCTCCGTTTTTGACATTCTTTTCTGTGCCCACCACTGAATGTCCAGTGAAATACAGATGGCTGCCCATGGTCATTGCTGAGTAGCAAACAGGGACTGCAAAGGTTTTCCAGTGCAAAGACAAAGAATACTACCTGGAGCACTGTTTTGTGGGTGAAGAATCCCCTTTACTGTCTTTTCCTTATTAAAAAGACTTTTTTCGATGCAAGGCTAGGTGACCCACTGAGTCAGGCAGAGCAGGGACGTGTAGAGCCGCTCACACCAGGATGGTTCAACAAAAGCGTTGAAGGATGCTTTCAGTGAACAGCTACAAAGGGAGCAGGGTAAGGCAGTCTGCGGAAAACACTGTAAGGCTTCAGAGAAGCACAGCTGGAACATCAGAGAGTGGCATCAGAGATGGCCGTAACAGCCATTTATCAAATTACAGCAAATGCTCTACTAACACGTTAAAAGCAACAGAAAGGAGCTACCTGTGCAGGCTGGGGAGCATCACTATTGCTCTTTCCTTACAGGAAAATGTTTTAGTGAGAAAAGAAAACTGCAAGGGAGGCCCCCGTGTTCTCTGCTTGATTTCAGGGCTCTGCAGAGCTGCCGTCCTGCCTTTTCGCAACGAGGCGGGACGTCCCGCACCCCACCAGGTGCCTGCGCCTTGCCGAGGGCTGTGGCGAGAAGGAAGGGGATCACTCTCACTGCTGCACGAAGCAGGTGACGGAGAGCAGCGGGCTTACCGTCTTGGCAGAGCTCGCCGGCCACCCCCGGCGGACAGCGGCAGGCACCCGTGGCGGGGTCGCAGGTGCCACCGTTCTGGCAGCGGCAGGCCAGGCTGCAGTTCCTCCCGAAGGTGCTGGCCGGGCAGGCTGGGGCGAGAGAGAGAGGCGAGGCTCCGCCGGCCGGCGCCGCCCCCCCCCCAAGCCTCCCGCCTGCCGCAGCCCCGCACGCAGCCGCTGCCTCCATGCATCCTGGAGCAGGGACGAGAAGAGCTTTCTCGCCCACTGCCCTCCAGCATCACTCACTCTGGTTACAGAGGACGCCCGTCCAGCCTGCCGGACAGTCGCAGCCGGTCTCCTCCGCGTTGCATGTGCCTCCGTTTTGGCAGTCCTCACAGGTCAGGCTGCAGTCGGGGCCGAACGTGTGCTCCAGGCAGACTGCAATGAGAGGGTGAAAAGCGTTCCCCAAGGCTGCCGCAGCATCTGGGAGAGTTTGGGCAGAGAAAACCCTTGTGCGCGCTGCGGCAAAGCTAAATGCATCTGTGTTGTAACACACGTTCCGTGTGCATAGCAAAGGTACTCGACAAGTCTTGCGGGTACGCTCACCAAACACAAATAAACCCAGCATGCGTGGTTAATTCTGAAGACTTCCAAGCAAAGTATGCCTTTTACCAGTGCTGCAAAATGCCTACCAAATTTTTCTGAAAGTGTGTGCTCTCCTCTTGCTTCCATCTCTTCCTCCTCTTCTTCATAGTCATCATTAAAGAGCTGGGTAAATTCATCTCGCAGGATGGCAACATGAGGGATTGGGTGGATAACGGGGTGCCGACTGTCCAGAGCTTCCACGGGGTCCTCTATAGCTAGGGAAGCAGTCACGGAGATGACAATGCCAAAGTGGGAAAACAGACAAGATCTCTAAGAGGTGAATAGGACAGAACCTCTGTAATAAAAAAGGGAAAGCAGAAATATCTGTACAGGGTTGGTGATCCGATTTGGCATGGTTTGCACCACTGATCTCTCTCTGTATTGACACCTCTAACATTTTTGCACCTTGTTTGCTTGTTCGTTTTGGCTAGAAGGGGCACGGGCCAGCTAAGTGACTTCAAAATCCATGGGAGAAGCTTTGATCTTAACCTTGACACACAGCTCTGGCTTCTCAGGCAACTGAGCTCGCACTCACCCCATCACCTTTGCTCTGCTGTTTTTCTGACCAGAGCCACTCAGGTTCTTTGAGTTTTCAGGTAAGTTAATTCTTTTCTGCAAAATTAAACAAGACTGCCCATCTAACAAAATTAAGCAATGCATTTCAGCTTGGTTCTCCTTTTGGGAACAGTGTCTATCAGGTACAGCTACAGGTTTCCTTCCCCTGCAGAGCAGGCAAGGGTTAAAAGCCAGGCAATCAAGCTAAGCACAGGCACACTTGGGAGCCAGGGCAGGGCCTATAAAAGCCACGGGGCCAGAGGAGCCTCAGGTGTTTTGCCAGAGCAGGGAGGCCCTGAGTGCTGCTCCTCTGGGTCCAGACCTCAGAAAGCCTTTCCAGGGACCCGGGCAATGCTGCTGGGGTTGGTAGATGAAGCGAGGGGGATGTTGGCTGCCCTGCTAATGAGTAAGTTGGGTAATAGTGTGTTTGGTGGTGGGATTTTGTCCCACTAACTGCTTAAAAAAAGTCTGTTTATTTCTTATAAGGAGAAACTGTAGAGGCTGATGGCTGTGGAAAGTGTTCTGGTTCTTTGGTTAATGTGGAGTCATCGCTGCAGACTTTATCAGTGTAGCTGTGCCAAAACCCTCTACACTTCTTTGGAAAGTGCTGTGTAACATGGCTGAAATAGGACTGGTTCTGTCAGGGGAAAGCTTTCCACTGGTGGTGTGAGTCATTCCCACTACTAGTAATAGTAAGTACTGTGAAAAAGCTGGAAAAGGTTGTGTGCAGGGCTCAGGAGCTCCAGCCTGGGCTGGTCCCGGCTTGCCGGGCTGCGTGCAGGGCAGGCCGTGGTGGGCAGAGCAGGGTGAGGGGCAGGGAGCCCGCCGCTCACCCGTGCAGCGGCACGGACGTTGCACTTACAGGTGCAGCTCCATCGGTCTTCATCCAGTTTGTATCCGATCTCGCAGCCACACTGGAAAGACCCTAGCTGGTTCTGGCATGTGTGTTCACATCCACCGTTATTTGAGGAGCACTCATCCACATCTAAAAAACACGGGATACTCCAGTGTAATGGGAGCAGGCCCTCTGTACAGGACAGGGGCCCAGATATATTTCTGTCCACAGATCAGCAAGTAGGCTGATGGCATCCTCTCTGGTAGTGAGGTGAAGCCATCTGACTCTCAAAATTGAGTGAGACTACCCAAGTGGTTCAGGGAGCCCTGGGTTTCGAAATACCATGTGCTGGGTCTCAGCTCACATCTGTCACTAATTGTGTAGAAACAGGTGGGTAAACTTGGGGCTTCACCTGTGAAACGTTATTGGAGAGAAGTGTTATTGGAGAGCTTTGATAGTGAGAACAACTCATTAGGAGGAAAAAAGCCCCAAACTGTTAATGGTAAGAAAGTGACTCATCAGAGCTGACAGGAAAGCTGCTATGAGCTGCGAGAAACTGGAAGAAATGCCTGACTCTTTGCAACCAGGTAGGGCAATTTCTTGTTCTCTTTGTTAAAAGCTTGTGTTAGTCACTGTCTTAGCTGTATTTTATACAGATGCTTTTATTTGCTTGTATCTCTCGGGTGAAAATGATGGGCAATGTTGGCCTCCGGGGTTGAACGTGAAATGATTTCTGTGAATCACTCCAGGTCAGACCTGGACCAACTCAGCTTGAGATACCCTGATTTGAATTCAGTGTGTTCAAAAGCCCCATTGCTACTCTTCAGTTGTGCTGGACTAGTGTATGGGTTAGAATTGCTGAGTTGCCTTAACAGTAAGCAAACTGAGGAGGCTGACAAAACACAGAAACCCAGAATTAGAGAAACGCATTCCGTGTGTGTCTTGCCGTGCTGCACGGCTGAGGACCGCAGCATTGCTGGTTGACTTGCAGGAGTCCAGCTAGATGTTTCTGCTTACCATCACACCCACAGCCATCTGTGCTGAGCCTGTATCCAGCATAGCAGGCACACTCGTAGCCTCCGGGATAATTGTAACAGTCCTGCTGACAACAGTGGGAACCATTGTCACATTCATTGATATCTAAATAAAAAACAAAGGGCACTGGATGTTAATACACATCTAGCTTTGCAGTGGTGACAGTACTTGTTAAAATTGCTCCGTGACTAGTTCTGGTAAGCTTTTACTGCTCTGACTGCCAAATGCTGAGCCAGTATTCTTGCTTTCCTCTGAAATGAGTGAGCTTAATGTTAACAGCTCATCCTTGGCAATGTGCTCCCCAGCCAAGGGGAATCTGGAATCCTAGAGGCCTGTGGGAAGTTAACTGTGATTTTCAGTTTGAGGTTGTTCTTAAAGGTTTTGTGTGCTTACAAGTAGGGGGTGATTCCAACTGTAACACTGACTCTTGCTTTTGGATTTACCCTGTTAAAATACTGATGTTGAGTACAGAGATGGATGAGAGCTGCATGGCTCCTTCCAACTGCCTCAGAGCAAAGTGAGGGATGGACCTCAATCACCTGGAGAAAACAGAGCTCCTGCAGCTCTAAATTTCAAGCCCTTTGTATTTATGGGACTTCATTTGTCTGCTATGAAGTGGAATTACTGCGGTGCCCATGTAGTAGTGGGGTTTGTGAAGCGTGCCCCTACCACCAGAGGAGGATGGACCAAAGAGGTATCTGGTAGGAAAACAAATAGCACTGCTGGGCTACAGAAAGTGTACTGGGCTTTGTAGTATGCAAAGGAGTAACGTTCTTTCAGAGTAGACTTCAGTTCAGGTCCTGGCTTTTTTTGCTCCCATGTTGTGATGTTGTGTGGAGACAGCTCCTACAGCTTCCTCAGAGCCGCAGAGGAAAGAAAATGTCCTGGGGATTTTGGGTTCCTCTCCTCTGGCAGAGGAATCGCTCCCCTTTGCACAAGTAACTGTGGGTGCCCGTGGCAGCCTGCTCAGGAGTGTGTCTGTTCCTAGCAGATGTCCTGGGCAGACATGCTGCTTGAAAGCTGCGGGAAGAAGGTGGTACTGAAAAAAGAAGAAACAAATTCAAGAATTTTCCTGACTAATGTGCACCACACTGGTGCAGGACCTGGCTGGCTGGGGAGCACCGCAGTGGCTTTCTGACTAGGTTATTTGCTGTGAGGGGCTCAGAGTAATGCAATAGAAAGTGCATGCCTCAACTTCATAGCACTTACAGAGCTTGAGGTGCATTTCACTTACCTCTCCACTAACACATACTGTACAGAACTGGATGGGGCTGAGCTACACTTGGCTTGCAGCTAGTGACTCATCCACATCACTCACTCACTCAAATAACAGGCAAGATGGCACTTTTTGAGCATCATCCCTTCTAGATGTAGGCTTATAGGTATCTGAGATGCGAGTCTGTCTGCCAATGCTGCCTTAGATCAGCTTCAGCAGGGAAAAGCTAGCTAGTTCTGAAGTCAACATTGCTGTCCAAGTAGGTCTTGAGTGGAGGTTTGAGGGTGTCTTCAAGTAGAGAGATCTCATCTCCTTTTACTTTGCATCTGTTTCTAGCCTTGTTAACCTGTTTGTAGTGCATATACAGATGGTAGCTAATATACGGAGATCCTCATCATTACTTGAGAGGTGCTTGTAAAAACAAGATATGTACCTTTTCCCTTGCCTTACCAGTGCATGTCTTCTGGTCCTCTTCAAGCCGATAGCCAAAGTTACAGGTACAGACTGGGCCAGAGCTGGTGTGGTGGCAAGTGTGGGAACAGCCACCATTGTTGGCTTCACAGCTGTTCACAATCTCCATTTCTATCCCTGGAAAAGGCATGCTGGTTAGGGTCCTGCAGTGTGTGCTGCACATCTCTACATACTGGCTGGCCAGTGCCTTCCCTCGGTGCTGCGCTCGAGCAGGCACCCGCACAGCAGCTTCCAGCCAAGCTCCTTGCACGGGCATTTTTGTGTGCACAGCCCTGCTGAGGAGAAGAGTGATCTGCAGTGAGGAAAGGATGAAAATAGCTTTGCGCAGAGGCCGCTGCTGGGCTGGGAAGTGATGTATAAAAATAAACCGATGGATCCCAGGCAACGCCCCATGTAGCCTCTTAGGGACAGACTTGTGGAGCAGGCTCTGGACAATGAGATGAACCAGACTGCAGACAAAACTGCTCCCATTCCTGACAAGCTGCAGTATGTGCTGCCAACCAAAAGTTGGCTCAGACTTTGTGAGTACAGAGCTGTTCTGATGCCAGCTAGAAATGGGAGCAGCAGAATACAGCTAACTATGGAAACATCCAGATGCCTACAGCTAGAAACGTTACTGACATGTCAGAAATGGTGGGTGCAAACATCAATAGCAGCCATATATCTTCTTAGCTTGGCAAAGTTTATGTAAACTTCGGTCTAGTTAATTAAGCTTTCTTAAACTAAAAGGAACTTGTACCATGGAGCTTTGACTCAGTCCTGAACCTCAGGAAAACAATTTCTGCCTTCAAGAACATTTTTGAGTTTTTTAGTGTGTTGAGGCCCAAGGAGGATGAAAGGAGGGGAGCTCGATGCTTCCCAATGGATCTGTGCATTCAAAACCAAAAGCTGTGTCATGGTGGAAAACTATCTTCCATATTTCACAACATGAATATAGTCCCTCTGCCTTTCCTTTTCTTATTAATGCAAGAACCACCAGGGTTTTGCATAAAAGAAATGTGCTAGAAGGAGCAGGGAGAAACACTTTTCATACAAGAAGCCTATTTGATTCCGTAGCTGGCACCAAAGTAGAGGTACTGGCCGTGGTTATGGCAATGAGTCACAACAACCGGAGGAGCCATGTCAGAACGTGAGTGGGGCTTGTGCTTCCACTGTCCCTGCTGTCAAAAGTGACCCTCCAGGGCTGGCATCTCTTACCAGGGGCTTACCTGGAAAACCAAGGCTTGAGCAGCAATAAAACTAAGCTTTTTGTCACCTGTGGGCCAGTAGCTGAAGCCACAAAGCGTAGTCTTCCCTGCTGCGTAGTCACAGTGCTAGGTGAGGAGGTAGCTAAGATTTATTAGGCATAGACCTGGCTTCCTAATCCAGTCCTCTGTAAGCCTTGCTGGCTATTGTGCATCTTCACCCCAACAGCTGGAGGTGAATGTGCAGCTGCACATGAAACTGAGCTATGGGATATTTTTGTACAGAATATGCAGTGTGAGATAAACCATCTTCCTAGGAAGAAAGGTGTGTACATGCTCAGGCTCTTAAATACATGTCATCAGTCTAGTTCCTCACATTGCTCTCAGTTTGATGCCTTTCAAGACAGCCTTTTTATGATCTGCAAAGCCTTACCCTCGTACCCTTGGCAGGCTCCCGGTGAGAGCTGCACAGGTGGAGCATCATGGCTTCCAGTAACACCAGCTGCCAGCACTGGGGCTGCCACAGTGGCTTTCATCCATAAGGGGGCTGCTGGTGCTAAATGCTGATAGCTCTGCTTTGGACTGTCCCCGCTGATGTGTATTAGCTGAACAGAGATGTATGGACAATCTGGCTCATTCTTGCCTAATAGCGTTTACTTGTTGTCTCGATGCGATCACTTCACTAGCTCAATTCCTTCGGTTACACATCTGCAGCTGACTGAACTCATCCAACGAAGTCCCCAAGAGCAGAACTTGGCCTCCAAACACATTGCCTGAACCAGCAAAACTAGCTTCATGTTAACTTTAAAGATCAGACAAAGTTTTTTATCTTGGTGGGAGAGTAAACAGCCCCAAACCTGCTTGTGAAATTCTTCAAAAAAGATTGCTGTAGCTCAGCCCCACCAATTCACAGAGGATAGTGCAGGAACAGTTGCCTGCAGAAGCAAACCTGCCTCCGTCCCTGCCTGAGATGGGGGTCTGCATGCAGTACTCACGATAGCATTGCTTGCCGTCTGCCCCCAGCTCGTAGCCCGGGTGACAGGTACACTTAAAGGAGCCGCGAGTGTTGAGGCACTGGTGTGCGCACATGGCTAGTCCAGTCAGACATTCGTTCACGTCTGCAAGAGATGAGAGATCAATAAGCAAGGCAGGTTGAGCCATAAACTTTCTTTCAAAGGGACAATTGTTACTATCTCCAAGTTTTTCACTGGTTTCTTGCACCCTGAATCCTTCACTGGGGTCCAGACCACCAAAGCAACAGAGTTAAGGGTTGAGAATTACTGTACAGCTTCCTAGGAAATTGGATCACATGGAACTCGAGTGCTGTTCCAGACAACTCGAGCGGGGCTCTTGGACAGACGTACGCTGAGCACTTTCAAGCCGCCCCTCTGGAAGCCTTGTGCATCACTGTTAAATGCCCAAATGCTGGGAGTTGCTACGATTGAGCACTACTTCACCCCATGAGACAGTTGTTTTCCTCTGAGCGCTTTGCTGTAGGGAGGTTACCTTCACAGGCCTTGTTGTCAGGCGCCAGCCGGTAGCCAGGGTGGCACTCGCAGCGGGCTGTTCCACGGTGGTTGTGGCACCGGTGCATGCAGCCCCCATTCCTATCGGTGCAGGGGTTCCTCACTGCAGGTCAAAGCAGAAGAGGCAGGCTTATTTCGTACTAATCCTAGCTCTTATTGGCATTATACTTAGGGGGAAACAGAGCATCAGGCAGTTACGCCTAGCAAAAATGTCTGCCACCTGTGAAAGATCATTTTCCACCAGACAGAAAATCTCTGCTACTGCTTGCTGCTCCATCCGGGCAGGAGGATTTACACGGTGTGCAATCCTGCAAAAGGCAGGCACTAATCTGAGTAAAACCTTTCCCGCAGAAGCTTGGCATGGGCATGGCCCTCTGCAGGGCTGACAGAGCAAGCAGCAGGCAAATTTGTTTCAAGTGCTCCCATCAAGAGGCTTGCCGATCTCCGACCTGCTCCAGGACCTGGACAGGTGCTACCAAACCCTACCGACTGCTGCATTCGTAATACCCCAGGTGTTCCTTTTCCCTTAGCAACTTCACAGCTAAGGACTTCCCTCCCCCTACTTCTTGAATAAGGAGATTAAACTTCTGCTTTATATCCCCTTCAGCTTCTCTCCCTCCTGCAGCCGGGAGCAGGTCAGCCAGAAAGCTGTCTGCAAGCAGAGGGAGAAGATCCCATCCCGCTGCAGCACACTGCCGTTCCTTCGCTTTCTCAGAAGTGTGTGCCTTCATACAATTTCATTTTTGTTGGCTACACTCCTTCAGCTCTTCCTTGCCTTTCCGAATAAGCTGCAGAATATGTCCATGACAATATAACAGGCAGAGTTTGGAGAAGAGCTCCCCGGTCTGATCTATTTGACGCCCCTATTCCCCCAACCCTCCGCTGCCCCTGGATAAAAGCCCAAAGCGAGCTCTGCCTCCCCGGCTTCCTGCGCGTGCTCGAGGGGACTCACGGGCGCAGCGCTTGCCGTCCTCCCGCAGCTGGTAATTGTGCCGGCACTGGCACCGGTGCTGCGCCAGCGTCACCTGCACGCAGTCGTGTTCACAGCCGCCGTTGTTCAGGGCACATGTGTTCAGAGCTACAAGGCAAAGGGACAGAACGTTTGTCACAAAAATAACGGCACCTGGACGAGCCTCTTGCACAGGACCTGGGCAAATCACACACACTCACACAGAGCACTGCTGATGGGAATTGAAAATTGGGGCATACTCAACCTGTGCTAAAGCAAGCAGTTCACAGCAAACTTCATAAGCGAGAAGTGTGCTAAATGTGAGCTGTTGCTACAAATCTGTTCGTGTGCAGCACACGAGAGAGCCTGCCCGCCGCTGTGCCAGCCAGGTACCTTGGCAGACCCCCCTTGAGATGGAGGCCTTTTCCTTTACAGCCCAACAGTGCCAGGTAGCAGCTTAAAATTGCTCTTTTCTACGTAAGAGTTGCCAGCAGCTCTCCTGAGGGGCAAGGCCAGGACGTGGGGGTCCAGGCTAGGTCCTCTGCAGTGCTACATGGGCGGGCCGCTGACCGCTGGCATGCTTCCTAACGAGCACCAGCCGCTGCGAAGGGTGCCCGTGCCAGCAGGCAGGCTTCTCGTGCTGCGGTATTGCTGAAATTCTCATCATTTTGTTCAAAGACAGCCACTGCAGGTGCAATGCCAGAGTTAGTTCAGCTTCATTACTGCTCAGGGTTGCACTCGGGCATATTCAGGTTTCCCTGTAACAAAATGATATGGAAAACTAAGTTTCTGGCTCCATGCTGTGCAAAAGACACCGACTGCACAGGGCAAGGCCCAGCAGGTACCATCAGTTCTTCTGGGAACATCTAAAAAAGCGTTTTCAGATGCATCCTGCATGTCTGTACTTCCATTGGGTGTAACAACCCCCAGCTCAGGGCTTTGACAGGAGATTTCTATGTGAAGGTTAGGATGGATGTGCCCGTCCGCGCCGCCAGTAACTGCCGCCGTAACCAGCGGAGTCGCTGAGCCGGAGTGCGTGGAGATACGCTGGCAGGAGCTGTGGTTTGTTGTGCAGGCGGGACTGGGAATGGAGATCCCTGACTGCTGTTCCTGGCCGTGCCACAGCGTTTCTGTGTGGCCTTGCGCAAGACGCTTCCCTGCCCAAAGGATTTCAAACAGTCGGAAAACAGGTTTTGCCTAGGCTACAGCAGAAAACAGATCTTATGACCGAACATGTGGACTATCTTCTCTTTACAAGCTTGCTATCATTATTCAGCCTTAAAACAGCCTTCTCCTCCCCCCTCTCTGTTCTCATAATCTGGGACTTCTCTGCAGGACAAGCAACAAAAGCGTGGTGTTTAACTGGAGCTGTGTGCACTGCGCAACCAGCAAGCAGGCAGAGCTTGCCTGCCTATGTTTACTAGGCTGCAGCTCTCCAGGACCACTGACCTTCTTGCATCCAGGAGAAATTTGAGCTAGAGAACAAAGCAGAGAAGGACTTTCTGGAGAGGGATTCACAGACTCTGGTAGATAAGCCATCCTGGGGTAACTACATGCCTCCAAAGTGATGAAAGTCATCTCTCAGACCACTGCGTGTCTCCTGAGTTAGCCTACCTACTCCTTAATCGGTGAGCATCTCAAGCAGAGACTGCTCCAAAGAGGTGCCCCTTAGGGGAACTGGGAAATTGGCCTTTAAAGTCTGTTCTTAGGAGACACGAATGTGCGTGAAACACAACACGCTGCGCACCAAAGCTGCGTGGGTGCGACATGGCTAAAGCCCGGCCACGGTCTGGGACGGGAACCCATAAGCAGAATGGTACGATGAGCTGGGGTCTCACGTGTTTCTGACCTATTTTTCAAGCTCCAGAATAAACTAACGTGCTGACTCTGAGGAATCTTATGAGAGTGCTAAAAATCTCTCTAATGAAAAGCATCTCACCACAAACTAACACTTCAGGTAATCACAGTGCCCCCAACAGCCTCCAGAGTTTTGCTAAGCAGGTGAGTCTGGAAAGCATATGCTGGTAAAAGTCTCTGCTTTTAACGAGGCCTCGGAATCCCAAGGAAAGCCGGGTCTGCTGAACACCCGCACCCAGATGAGCGGGCAGGCTGCAGGCAGCTCGCCTGCACTGGCTGGCAGCGGGTACCGATGCCTTGCAATAGGTGGGCATGCAACCCCCAAAGAGCATTGTCTATAGACAAAGCACTGAAAGTCATTTGATTAAGCCTCTTGTATATTAGTGAAAAACAAATATTTGGCACAGGAGGAAAACAAAATGCAAAACTGTATATGTGGGGTTTCTTTTCTGCAAACAGTTCCCCTGTAAAAAATATGCCTTGACTCAGAGCTGAGGAGCTCTCTCATTTCAAACTTCTAAAAACTCACTTCCCGTTGTATGCCTCTAATTAACTAAACAACATTTAGGGGAATAAAAGTGACTTAATAGGGTCGAAGTATTGCCATACGCAACATATGGCTGGAGCACGAGCTATCCGTTTATGTTAGTTGTGCTGACATCGTTTCCTTCAATCCATTTGGAAGGAAACAACAGAAATACTTGACGTTCCTGAAAAGTTATGGGTCAGAGTTACAGTACTCAAGCTTTAGCAGAGATGGGTGGTCATTTTAAAATAGTCTGATATATTAAAGTGTTTAATTCAAAAGTACCCATAAATAACGTGCTTGTTGGGAGTGGTTTTTTTTTTTAAAAAGTAAAACAATGCTAATGCCTGCCAAAACATTCCTTCATATGTGAAAAGTACTGGGCCAATGTATAACGAGCCAACACATCTTACGTCTAAAATAACCTCCCAGCATGCAGCTATTTGTATGAATTTGCAGTCTAAATAACGCCCTCCTTGCACACCTCAAAAGACAACTTTTCAGAGTGGAAAAAACTAAAGTCCAGGTTCTTCTTTATCATACAAAATTTAAGCAGACAGAAATTCTGTGAGGTTGGATACAGCAGGCTTTCCAAAAGCATTATTTCTACGCACGAGCAGTTCAGCACGTCTCTGGGTTGCACTGAACCGCGTGCTGAGGCACGATACCCCGCGGCAGCCATGTCGTGACGGAGCCATGCGATGGCAAAAACTGCTCCTGAACAGCAGAGGAAACTTCGGGGACTCGGGACGTGGCAACGCTCGGCCACCGTGACACCAGCTGAAGGACACGCGGTCCTGTTCCAGCGAGTCCTCCTTGACCAAGGTGTTTAAGCGCAACCGAGTGCCAGAACTGCTTAAGCAGATCTTACCTCACGCTGTTTGCAGACCACTAAGAGAGCATAAAAGGTGAAGCAGCGAGAGCGCAGGGGTCTTGCAGAGCATTTTCTTTCCTCTTGTGTTTCTTTTAGTATAGCTTATTTGCTAGCAAACGTACTCTTCAAGACTAATAACCCCATCTGAGCCTCCCCGTTCTGCGACTGCACACGATGACGAAGGGGCCGGGGCACGTGGTTGCCTCAGCCACCGCGGGTGTGTTCCAGACCACTACAGGCAATGGGAACCAGAAGTCCTTCTCTGCCAAGAGACTTTTATACATGGGGAAGAAGTGGCTGGCATCGCTGGCTATACGGTGCTCGTAAGCTATACGGCACTGGTGGCACGTGCGGGATGCAAGGAGCAAAGCAATCGCGTCCTGCGGGGCCACCCACGGTGCACTGGCCGGCAGGGCTGCTCATGCAGCACCGCGGTTTTGCTAAGATGCGAACTAATTCAATTTAAGAATCAGGAATAAGATGAAACACGTTAAAATTGGTTTGGGTGTCTTTCCATCAAAGCAAGGGTCTTCTAATTCTGGGTCTCCTTAGCTGGCTTCTTGCAGAGTAACAGCCAGTAGACCTCACTGCTGGCCTTGTTTTAATTACTGCTCTTTTTTTCTGTTTACAGAACCACTCTAAAAATATTTCCATTCCCAGATGCTTATCCTAGCTTATCATTTCTGTGACAACATTGCCAAATCCAGTGTCATCTTGTACATCACACAGATTTTTGTAATTAAAGCTCAGACAGATTTTCCACAGATGATATTTCATCGTCTGCACGAGGGATGTTACTTCCATCCCCTCTGTCTGAAGGGAGTGCAGTGCTGCTGAAAGATGCTAGCTCCTAGATTCTGACCCTCTTTGGCCTGGGAAACAGCTAAAAAGGGATGAAAAGGACATTGTTGCTACTGGTTGCACGTGGGAAGCGCATCTGCAAGCTAGCAGCCTCACACAGGAGTCGATTTAACAACCGAGCTACCCGAGCTCTGCACCCTCCGGCTGACCCCACGAACTGGGAAGAGCTGAACGCAGCCCCTGTGGCCACACCGTGACCTCCTGGAGCCGAGCAGTCCCCTCGCTCGGCCCGGGGCCGTCAGCAACCTCACATCATCGGCGCTCGCCCCCTCTGCGTCCCTCCCCGGTGTCTCCACAGCTCTGCGGCAGAAGCCAGCTCAGCAGCGCTGAAGGCGTGCGTGTCTGCTGCCTCGTGAACCTGGGGCGCAACCCTCGCACCGCAGCACGCTGGTGATAACGCTTCCCTTGGTTTGACTCGGGCTCCTCCACTCTAACTTCTCCTCTTCCCCATCCGTATCAGCTTTCCCTCAGATCCAAGTCATTTGCCATCAGAAGCAGTGAGCTAATGCTTTAAAAGCAGCCGTAACTAAGATCGAGCATGACGTTCCCTTTTGCAGTGTCACACAAAACCATCGATTCTAAGAAACAGCTGAGAAATGCCCCACTGGACAAAGAAAAGGCAAATTTTCTAAAACATGCAAGTTGTCTGTACAATGCATGCAAACCGAAAACCTCTACAAAGCGCACACGGAGGATTACTCCCTGTGCACATAGTTCAAGCCCACAGAAACCTTTACGGCATAGTCCTTCTGTTCACTATATAAATCGCTGCTATATTTGAGATTTCTTCTTTTGAAGTACTCTTAATATAAATAGGGATACATCATGTAATCCCAAACTGATTTATTCTAACCTCAGACAATTTCCAGAAACATGTTGTGTGTTAATACAGACCATCTCTCTGCTCCGCAGGCCAACAAAAGCAATTGGCTCAGATGAAATTCTTTGCCTTGGACTGGATTTCATCCCTCTGCTGAAAGAGTGGAGAAGGACCTGAAGATGTCAGCCTCCTGCCCATGTGGTTCTGATAAAGAAAGAGGTAATTTCAGGACGTCCAATGACTCTTTTTGTTCTGTTTCACTTTCAATAGAAATGTCTGCTCTTTTTCTCCCTCCTTTCTGTATTAAAGTCATCAGTGACTTGCTATATTTGAACAACAAAGGCACAATAAAAGAATCTTGCGCAACTGAGCTGCAAATTACCCAAAGCATCAACAATTGTTCAGTTCCCTTGTGGACTGTGCATAGAGCCAAGCTCTGCTTATGCTGTAAAAGGTACCAACACCCTCAAAGAAAACCGCTTTTAAAGGCAAAATATTTCTTCCAATCCTACAAACCACAAGTGCTAATCTAAACAGCTCTTTATCTGGAACCACAATACACTTCATAAGAAATTGCTTTTAAAGGAGCCTAAGTAACTTCCGAAAACTTTTGCTGATTCTTCCCTGCATTGCGCCTTGCTTTATCATCTGCAGTACTAAGCACAAAGGTGCAAACTACCAAGGGTGTAAAGCCATCAAAAGAAAGCAGCAAAAGATTTTATCTGTTTTCCAATTCTTTGACGTCTTCAGGAATAAAATAGGCTTTGACTTTCCATCGCAAGCTTGGAATAATCGTCCAGCCGGAGGGTGGAAGAGGACCGATCGCCCTGAGCCCAGCCCGCCGGAGCTGAGCTGCTCGCCCGGCCCCTGCGCTCCCGGGGTTAACAGCCACCAGCCTCTGCAGGGGAATTCTGGAGCTCCCCGCTCCAGGCAGCGCTGCTGATTAATTGAAGCCTTTGTGGGTTTTGTGGTGATTGGAAAACATTTAAAGAATTAGACCCATGGTTTTACAGACCTTAACTAGAAACTGCACGGCAATAGTCTCCCTCTGTCTCCAAAATGCTTTCTGCTGCATTGCTGCTCACTGGGGCTGCCAGCAGCTTCCTAAAGCCCACGTCCATGCTTGACCCAGCTCTGCGAGCCGCCCCGCAGCCCGGCGCAGGTCCCCGCAGCGACTTCCCCTGCCTCTAAGGGCAGAGCAGTTCTGGAGCAGAGGGGAATGGATGGGGGAGCCTCGCTGTCTCCAGTTCTCTTTATTCCTGTCTGATCGCTTTTATTTAGTGGCAATTTTTTTCTGTTTTAGTAGCACTGAATCTTACCTGTCCAGTAAAATAGAGGATATCCCAACTTGAAGAGAAACACAGCTTTTCTCAGTTGACCTAATCCCTCAGAACCATGCAGGGAAAAAAACCCCTTGGTTGAAGTCAAGTCAGTGCCTGAAACTTCACAGGAGTGAAGAAACGTGGCTCAGGTCCCTGAGCAAAACCTCCCACCTCTTGCTACCTTCAGCCCGAGAAAGCAGCTGCCCGGCACCGCAACGTCTCCACTCTGCGTCCTTGCGACGGAGGTTACTTGCCCAGACAAACACACCTTCTCTGGCCTGCTCAGCATCACGCTACAGCTCTACCTTTGCCATACACCACAACTGATCTCTGCGTAGATACCAACCAGCACAACAACTATAAAGCAGTTTATTACCGGGTAGAAGCTCAACTATCTAACTGCACCCACAAAGAGAGGCCATCGTGGCTCCTTTCTGCACAGCAGTCACTCAGCCCCCAGGCACCAAGAGCTGCTCCGCTCCTGGGGAGACCCTGTTACGGGTCCCCCCAACCCACCCGCGGATTGGATGGGTGCTCATGCTGCTTCCCACCACTCAGTCGTGGTGTTCTACCTTCCTGCTACAGCTGGCCTTAAGATCGGCACTTAGCGAGGGAAAATCCTTTCTTCTTCCCCAGCGGTGCTGGGAAAGCACTCCTGAAACACAAAAATTGAAGTGGGAAGGGAGGGCATGTTGAGTGAGGCATCCTGCCTTTGATGCTGCTGCCTGCACGCTGCCCGCACCCCGCGATCGCTGCCTGGTAACTCGTCAAGAATGCTGGCTTAATAAAAGTCCTGTGATTTCCAAGATCAAGTTGGAGCAAAGCCTCTGACTTCGCAGTGTAAATATTTACATAGACCAAGCACTAAAGGAAAGAACCATTTGCGTGTACTTGTGAGAACACCACAGAAAGCGAGCACATGCTCGAGGGCCTGGGATTACCGCAAAGTGACCCACGGAAAGCTGCCCGGCCGGACCGCACGCCGCTGCCAGGCTCGCGGGCTCGCCGTCCCAGCGTCAGCGAAGGCAACGGACAGGCAAGCACATGCTGCTGCAACGACCAAACCCAGGGCGAGAGCATCCCCTCGGTGGCCCCAGCTGAGCTGCTTCCCTTGCCTGGGCTCTGTTGCGGGGTGGGCTTGTTCCACGGGCACAAACAGCCTGTACTGACACAAATCACAGTCGTATAAACTCAAACCACATCACACCGAGCCGCTGTGCCTGACTGCTGCCGTGCAGCCAGAACCACTGCTGCCAGCACCAAGAACCGTCATACAGAATCCACAGGGCAGAAATCTGTCCACCGGGAGACAGGCATCAAACGGGGCAGTCGTGGCACGTGGGCGCCCGTGGCACAAGGCACCCTTACGCCTGTGGATGCATAGAGGGCAGCCACAAACACCGGCAGAGGAGTAACCTCTAGGTCTGTGCTCTGTTCCAAGCTTTTACAAGAAAAATAAGTTTACTTCCACCCCTCTGCACAACTGGCTTAATAGGTTAATACAGCACTATTATGAAGGCAGGATATATATATACATATACACACACACATATATGCACATTTCTGTCACAAAAGTGTAAAGAACAAAAGCCACCAGTCCTGAAGCAAGCAAGCCAGATTTTTAGGTCTGGTCTGTTGTTATCTTAGAAACAGCATCGGACAATTATGTAGCGAGAGTTTTTACTCGCCCTGCCTGGTCTGCATCTACTTTCCTGTGTACTTTGTGGGTCGCAGGGGTACAGGCACCGCCGAACTAACAGCAGATCCTGCCAGCTCTGCTCCCCAGAGCTTCCAGAAACGGCCCGAGTTACTCCCGTAGTAGATCAGGTTTCATGAATAGAGACCCCTTAATTTTGGCAGATGAATTCCAACACTGTGCACATTATGGCAAATACTTGCTCAAAAGTTTAATGCAAAGCAGGTTTGCGGTGCTCAGCGCAAGCAGCACGGAGCAGGGAAGCCCTGCCTGCACGGCTCCTGGCAGAAATGCTCTGCACATCGCAGCCGCACGAGCAGGTAAGCCTGAAGAACAAAAGCAAAGGATGGAAATTGCTTTTAAACAAGAGATTCCTCCCTGTAGCGATCCCTTTTGTACTTTCTCTGGAAATTGTTTCACCTTCTGGCACTGACCCTGCTGAGAACTCCAGAGCTGGAATGGCTGGCTCATGTTTTATTCTATGAGGCAGAGGCGGCAGAATCACTCTATACCACAAAAAAGAGAACTACGTGTTATAAGGACAATGATTAGATGACAGACCACGTACACACTTACATGCAAAGAGTAGCAATGCATAGCCACGAACACAAGTTTAGGTGTTCAGTGCTAGAGCAGCGGGCTGGGAATGATTGGCTTTTTTCTTTATTTGCAATCCTTTTGCTTCTGGATTTTCTGGGCAAAATATAGGGCACCCAGTGAACTTGCACCTTAAGCCTACGCCTCGCTGCGCCCGTGAGAGCGTTGCCACGTAGCGGGGCAGCTGCAGAAAGACGTGCAGCTGGTGCTGCTCCGGGCACGGCAGGCACCGCTTCCTTACACGGCTTTTTTGCTGCTCGCATCACCGTTCCCAACTGGAACACACATGCTCACACAGTCGTTTTTAGCAAACTCTGGAACGTGACTATGTTCTGAGCAAAACCAGCAAATGGCCTTTGTAATACCATCGCCCAGGAATTCTTTCCACTTGTATGAAAATATCCCTCAAAAAATGGAAAAATGTGTCAAATAAAGCTGTGACGGAGAAGTGGTTTAATAAAAACAACAGCAGCAGCAGATGCTGGAAGGCAGACTCCAAGCTCCACCCCAGTGTCTCTGAGCCTCTAGTTTGAGGCAGGCAAACAACAATATTTCAAGAAATTGGCCCCGAAGTCAGCTGCAAGCCAGACCTGGCACCTGAACTGTAACGTCTGGATGGGCGCCACCCAAGCGGCCGCATGACCAGCATCCCAGGGAGGAGTGTGTCGAGTATTAAGGCCGCAGTCCCGCACACAGCCATGCTCATTTTCGCTTCTCTGTCACGCCTGGTGCCTGCCGTGCGGGCGAGGGAACAGCTGAGGTGAAACTGAAGTCTGACTTGAACCTTTTCATAATCTAGTTTACGTATTTGTTCTGAAAATGCCATATCTGATACACCCTGTATCAACAGCAGAAGCACCAAAGCACTGGAAGTCACTTCTCCCGAACCCGAATAAACTAAGGAACGGCAAAGAAGTCTAAATTCTACATGGCCACACTGCAGAACAGCAAACGTTAGGGAAGACGACCAGGATCCTGTGAAACGAAGGAGCAGGCAATCCATCACCGCCATCTCAAATTCCCTGCAGAGAGGAGGGATGTGAGTGGGTAAGCCGATGTCAGCGCTCTGTGTACAGTGCCACAGGTACAAAAAGGGCTATGAAGAATTAAAGATTCTCAAGAAATTTAAAACTGGGACTTACCGATGCAGGTCCTGCCATCTGTGTGCAGGCGAAAGCCTGGCTTGCATTCACAATAGTAAGATCCAAGGGTGTTCACACATCTGTGCTGGCAGCCCCCATTGTGGACCTGGCACTCATCAACATCTGCAAAAGAAAAGGGAAGAGGGAAAAAAAATTCAGAGGAGTGGGCATGACGGTACCTGAGGTCAGGATTATTTATCCTCTGTTGATTGACTCCAGATTTGAGGAACAAATGCAGAGGGAACAAGATTGCCATTTCATTATGTTTGATCAGTCAAGCTATTTAAGAAATTTCAGGGAAAAAAAAGTATCTTATTTGTCAATCAGCATAAACCATCTTTCAGGTTGTTCACCTCGCAATGGTCACTTTTCCCATTTGCTCTAAGATTACGGATTTATTGAGATTTTACACTTCCTTTTCTTTATGTGCTGAAAACAGGCTGGGCTAGTCCATTTGCTACTTACATACCTACATGGAAGGTGGAGTGAACACCTAGCATTACAGACCGAAGCGATAAAAAGCAGCGAAGTTCAACGCCTCGGCGCTGCAGCAGCAGATGCTCTCGTCCTGCTGAGTCAGCCCCATCCTGCTGCAGCACAGAAGCTGGCTTCCACCGAGCTCGGCCGCGTGCCGCAGGTGAGAGGTTTCACTGTCGTGCTCGCCTCAGTACTTCGCAAAAAGCATTTAACACATTTCACACCATTTACGCCTGGGACTCACTTGACCTGCCGCTGAAACGCAGCGAAATCTGGGCTATCTGGTGATAAGCTACGCTCAGAATTGCTATGCATCATTGGAGACAAGAAAGAAAACACGTTAATACCCGGAGAAAGTTATTACGATGGACCAACTGTGTGACTAGCAAGGATTTGTTCGTAATTGTACGATACTTAAGAACATGACGAAGTCCAACTGGACCCCCCAAATACAAAAGGCAGACTACAAGCGGCGAGACTCTGACCGCAGCCCCCCAGCCCTCTCCCCCAGCTCCACGACCAGAGCAAGCCCGGGAGAACGGAGGCAGCCGTTCCTGCAACAAGGCAGCCACTTGGCCAATAACACTGCGCACGTCCGTTTCTCTTGGTAAAACTACGGGCCCTCGAACAAAAGACAGTCTCTGGGCCAGAAAAATCTTCTGCCAAGTGCTGAGCAATCTTTCAAGAGCTGAAATGGGAACCAGCCCATGAGTTCTTGGTAAAAAATCCTGTTACGTTTTATTATCAGAGCTTCAAAACCAGGGAGGTAGACAGCAGTGTGTTGTTACACAAAGGGAGATTCATTCCTGTTGCACAGACCTTAAATTGCCTCTAAGCACTGGGAATAACTTCCAGAACTGAGAAGAAATGTAAAAATGTTTGGAGCACCCAGCTACATGGTGCTAACTAAGACGCATATCAGAAGCTTGTCAAAGGCAATTTCAAGTTTCTGAGATGTAAGACTCCTTCATATGGCTGTAATTAGAAATAATAGGGATGTTTGTGGTTATAGCTGTACAGTTCCTTAATTCCTGCCATTTGCGTGTGTGCGTACACGTATGCACATACGCTACCTTTCAGACGGGCAAGGATTGAAGATCTCTAGTCAGATGGGGGAACCGGATCACATCCACACAAACAGCAAAAAAGCCAACCAGCAATTCCTTTTTCATGGAGGGAAAACTTCAGTAGGTTTGCGTCTATTAGTGTTTCTATGCACTTGCGGCATTTTTGTGAAGACGCCTTCAGCACGCACAACTATTTTCTGCTGTTGCACAGCATTGCTGCTATCCGTTACACCTCTCAGGCAAGATTTTGCCAGAAGAGAAGGCTAAATCCCCGAGCAAGCAGAGAACCTGGGACACAGCTTGCACAGGGGCTTGCTAGCCAGACCCTTCCCGGGTGCTGCAATCTGGGCAGCCCAGGCACAGAAACCCCAGCCCAAGGCCTTGACTCTGAAGGGGGGCATCGAGGAGAAAAGCTCTCGAGGCTGCTGAGCATCCGACCCGACGCTCTGTCCATCCAGCAGCTTTGTTCCACAGGCAACGCTGCTAAACAATTTCACAGAAGTACACACAGTTCAAAGTAAATGAAGTAACGGGGCCGAGATGACGAGCGACCAAAGCCGTGCACGTGGCTCAGAAACAGCAGGTCTGGGGGCAGTCACGGTGGGGACGCTGGAGAAGGGCATATATCGTCTGAGTTTGTTTAGGGCACTTTAAGTACCACAAAAAGCTGTTACCGCCGGTTAGATAGAAAGCTAAACCATAATTGAGACACTTGATTGAGGACACAGCACTTTGAGATCTGTGCTGTTAAACAGGATTTCAACTTGAATGTGCCACAAGCAAAATGCACATTTTCAGTACTGAGGACTTCATGCTGTGTGTATAAAGCGCCGGACGGTCCTGACTGCACGCGACTTCTTTTTGCATCCTAGATTCTGCCTGCTATCGTGTCACTCGCCTTGGTAAATCTATCAAATCCACCCTATTGATTCACCCGGAGCCTCCCAGTTCTCACTGAAGCTCCCTGGAGCTTTTAAAGCAGTACATGATGGAAAGGTTAAACCCACGGGAGCAGGAGCAGAATTCCTGTGCACCGGGCTCGGCCGGTTGGTAGGATCCCCGTGCACAGGCCTGGCAGCCGGTGACGCTCCCCGACAGCTCGCCTGGTGCTGCACGGTGGGGAAAACTAGAGGGCAGAGCCTGCTGGCACGGCGAAGTGGGTCACGCAGGCAGCGGGACGATACAGAGCCAAGCTGAACAGCGAACCAGCGCCGTTTTGTCAATGACTGTTGCTAATAAGATACAGAAACATTTCCTCAATGAATCACGGCAGGGCGTTGCCCCTGGCTGTGCCTCTGCAAGCCAGCAGTGCAAAAACCTGCGCAAGCCTCACCCTGGCCCAGCGCCTGCGATCCACTCCCCTGCCCGAAGCATCGCCCCGCTCCCTGCCAGCCTGCTCTTACCTGATTGCAGTTACTGCTCTCACTGGGGAGGCAAAGCGCATCGAAAACCACCAGAAAAGGAGAAATGCAACCTTGACTGAAGCCAGTGCTAAAATTTGACATTAATTGGCATCCGACTAATTGCCAACAAAATCAGCTAGCAGCAAGCAAATGGACTGGGTCAGGGAAGAAGTGGGAAGCTAAGTGGGAAAGGTGATGCTGCTTTTACTCAGTGTTTGTGAGCTACACAGTAATAATAAAAAAGTTTGTTTTCTCAGCATACTTTTCATTAGAAAGCTTCTCACTGCTTACAAAGTTCAAACCTAAGGATCAGAGCACGTGAAAACGGCCCTCTGCCCTCTCTGTCCTGGCGATGTCCAGCGAGCCCGCAGCCCTGACGTCTGGTGTCCTGCTGTAACGGCCGCACAGGGCTCCTTCCCCGAGGCTCCCCACTGTAGCTACAGCCTTCATTAACCCCGCGGAAAACGACAATTTCTGTAATGCCAGACCTCTGCTCGGTCAGTGGACTATAGATTCCTTCTCTGGGCATTTTAGAAGGTTTTGTTATTTTCTTCCTGTTTTCCAAGAGACTTAATTTTTAAAGAAAGGAAAATGAAGAGATTTTTGAGGTGAAACATAAGCTTTAAGTGATGCTCTCCGAAGAGTAACCCAAATCCAAACCAGCTTTTCAGAGGGGGAAAAATGCTGTGGCATGAATCTGAGATGCCTGTCAAAGCAACCTAGCTCAAATTAAATCCTTGTCTTCTGCAAAGGTTTCACACAGTTTGGATGCTACAGAGCCCCAGGGTCGCTGGTGCAGCCCCTGCTCACGCGGTAGGGCAGCAGTTCTTGGGCGCAGCACCGGAGCGTGCGTCCTCCCGAGCCCTTCGTCTAAGAGCCGCGGGCAGCTGCCGAACCCTGCAGCCCCCCAGCCGCCCCACAAAGCTGGAGCTTGGGTGTCCAGCTCTGACGCCTCTGAGAGGAGACTGCACAAGGTCCATCGCCATTAGCTATTAATACACAGAACTGGCTCTACTCAGCTCAAGAACAGGAAAACTGGGGTTTGGGAAGATATTATAAAGAGTAATAAAGTTTTTTGGTCTGAATTTAAACGACTATTCCACTGCTTCCCTTCAGCTCTAATCTGAAACCGTAGATAATTTACCGTCCAAAAAAGTTAGTGATGTGTTGAATAAACTTCTTCCTTGCACCCCATTACTCGTACTCAGTAATTATACATCTCCTCTCTAAATGTCTCTTCTTCCCCCTCTGTATTTTTCACCCTCTAAATCTCTGTAATGACGGAGGGCTGTCCCCACCCCAAGCCCCGCTCTGCCCCGTCCCACCCTAGCCCGGGAAAGCGGCCAGTCCTTCCTCGCGGCCCGGCTGCAGAAACACCCAGCACCTTCACGGCGCACGCTTCCCACGGGACCCGCCACGTCCCCTTTTTCCTTCTGGAGCCTCGCTTATCTCCTCCTACAGTAACAGAGAGCTTTTTGGACGTATACTGCACGATGGTGTGACCAAAATAAAGCTTCCCATCCTTCGCACCCCTGATGGGAGGGCAGCAGCGTCATCCCCCGAGAAATCTTAGGTTTGTGTCTTTGGAAATAACGCAACTGTGCCATTTGCCAAACCAAATTCAAACTCCGGTATGAGCGCACAGAGGGAAGAGGCACCTCCTGGGCAGCCGCTCTGCCTACTGCCTGGCTCTCTGATGGAGAGTTTGCAGGTTCTGGTGGGGACGGGGTGCCTTCGGTCCTCGGCCTGTGGAGTCGCAGGCTGCCCCCGCCGCAGCCGGCGGGG